TCCCCGGGACCTGATCATGTGTACCCTCGAACTCTGTGGGAAACTGGGGAAGAGATTGCTGGGCCCCTTGCTGTGATATTCGTATCATGAATAGCCAAAGGCAAGTGTTGGAAGACTGGAGGTTGGCAAACCTGGTGCCACTATTTAAGAAAGGTGGTAAGGAAAGGGAAGGGAACTATAGACCGGTGAGCCTGACATCGGTGGTGGGCACGTTGTTGGAGGGAATCCTGACGGAAAGGATTTACATGTATTTGGCAAGGCAAGGACTGATTAGGGACAGTAAACATGGCTTTGTGCATGGGAAATTGTGTCTCATTAACTTGATTGAATTTTTTGAAGAAGTAACAAGGGGGGATTGATGAGCGCAAAGCAGTGGACATGATCTATATGGATTTCAGTAAGGCGTTCGTCAAGGTTCCTCATGGTAGACTGGTTAGCAAGGTTAGATCACACGGAAAACAGGGAGAACTAGCCATTCGGATACAGAACTGGTTCAAAGGTATGAGACAGAGGGTGGTGCTGAAGGGTTGCTTTTCAGACTGAAGGCCTGTGACCAGTGGTGTGCCACAAGGATTGATGTTGGGTCCACTGCTTTTCGTCATTTATATAAATGATTTGGATGTGAGTAAAAGAGGTATGGTTAGTAAGTTTGCAAATGAGACCAAAATTGGAGGTGTAATGGACAGCGAAGAAGGTTACCTCAGAGTACTCCTTGACCTGTCAGCCACCTTCAGCTTTGATGGCCTGGTTCTTATGCCAACCAACCTAGCTGCAAGACTACTGATATAAATGACAACCAGTGACATTTAAAACAAGGCAGGTGATGGTCATCCATTCAACCAGGAAGGACCCCTAAGGTTTGATGACCTTATGAAGATACAAACAGAAGAAGACTGGCTGGTCCATTGACCGTGCTCCAAACTTCACATTTTAGTTCATTCACTTAAATAGATGAAAAATTGAAGACAATATTCCAAGTCAGGATCATGTGTGACCTGGAGGGGAAAATGCAGGTGGTTGTATTCCTGTGTGTGTGTGTGTGTGTGTCTATGTGTATGTGTCTGTGTGTGTGTGTGTGTCCGTGTGTGTGTGTGTGACCCTTGCCCTTCAATATGGTTGAGGTCAATGTTTGGAAGGTGCTGTTAAAGAAGACTTGTTAAGTTGCTGCAAAACATATTGAATATGGTACATAATATTCCTGCTGAGTATCGGTGGTGGAGGAAATGAATGATTATGGTGGTGGATGGGTTGTCTATTCACCCTATCCATGCCCCTCATGATTTTATAAACCTCTATAAGGTCACCCCTCAGCCTCCGACGCTTCAGGGAAAATAGCCCCAGCCTATTCAGCCTCTCCTCATAGCTGAAACCCTCCAACACTGGCAACATTTTTGTAAATCTTTTCTGAACCCTTTATAGTTTCACAGCATCCTTCCTCCAGCAGTGCGACCAGAACTGCATGCATTATTCCAATCGTGGCCGAACCAATGTCCTGTACAGCCGCAACGTGACCTCACAACTCCTTTACTCAATGCACTGACCAACAAAGGCAAGCATACCAAACACCTTCTTCGTTATCCTATCCACCTGTGACTCCACTTTCAAGTGACACAACTATTGCTGTCCACGTATCCAGATGTGTGAAGTCCCTTGGAGATGAGTGACCATAATATGACAGAATTCTTCATCAAGTTAGAGAGTGATGCAGTTGATTCTAAGACGAGGGTCCTGAACCTAAATAGAAGGAACTGTGATGGTACGAGGTACAAGTTGGCTATGGTTGATTGTGGAACATTATTTAAAGGGATGATGGTGGAAAGGCAATGACAAATATTCAAAGAGCACATGGGTGAATTACTACAATTCTTTTCATTTCTCTCTAGCACAAAAATAAAAGTGGAAAGGTGGCCAAACCATGGCTTACAAGGAAAATCAGACATAGTATTGGATCCAAGAAAGATACATGCAAATTGACCAGAAAAAAAAACAAACCTAAGAAATGGGGCATTTGTGATTCAGCAAAGGAGGTCCGAGAGATTGATTAAGAAAGAGAATTTAGAGGTCACGAATAAGCTTGTGAGGAACATAAAAACCGACTGTAGAAGATCCTATAGGTACATGAGGAGGAAAGGATTGGTGAAGACAAGCTGCAAAGAGCGAAAAATAGAGTTAACATTTTGAATCTGATATGAATCTTCTTCAGAACCTTTAACAATTGCTGTCTGTTTCTTACCCCTCAACCAATTCTGTGTTCACGTTGTTACTGTCTCGTTTATTCCATGACCTACAACTTTGCTCATAAATCTTTATGTGGCACTAAATCTAAAGCCTTTTGGAAGTCCATGTCCACTATGTAAATAGCTCTTACCAACCCTTTCTGTTTCCTCTTGAAGTTTGCGAGTCGTAATTTTCCCATAATAAATCCATGCTGAGTCTTCAGAATTGACTGCAATTTTTCTGTGCGACTATTAATTTATTCTGCATAATTGTTTCCAGAAGTTTCCCCACCGCCAACACTAAACTGACTAGTCTGTAATTTCTCGGCTTATCTTTGCAACCTAGGGAAATAAGGTTTGCAATTCTCTTGTGCTCTGGCACCACTTTCAAGTCCAGGAAAGATCGAAAGATTGTTGCTAGCTCTTCTGGAATTTTCATTCTCACTTCCTTCAATATTCTTGGATGCATCTCATCCAGTCTGCAGTATCTTACAAACTTTCAGTCCCGAAAGCTTATCCAATACATCATTATCAATTTTAAGCCCTTCTCGTGACTGAGCATCCTCTTCTCCCACTGTGAACTGGGCAGCATTTGCCTCATTGGTAAAAACAGAAATATTCATTTAATACCTCAGCTATGCCTCTCACCTCCAAGGATGTAAATTGCCTTTTTTGTTCTACTCCTTTTATTGAACTTTTAATGTTAATGTGCTTGCAGAAGACCAAGAATCTCATTTACTTTAGCTACCAGTATTTTTATGTAATCTCTCTATGTTTCTCTTATTTGCTTTTTTCATCTCCCTTCTGCACCTTCTGCTTGATTCTCAAATGTATTTATTACCTGACATTTATCATAAGCATGCTTTTATTTCTTTAACTTCATTTCAATCTCCTTTGTCATTCAGAGAGCAATGGATTTGTTTGTGCCCCCTTTCCCTTCTGAGGGAATATGCCTTGTCCGCGCCGAAACAATCTCCTCTTTGAAGCTGTGGAGGTGGAGGAACACAGCAGGCCAGGCAGCATCAGAGGAGCATGGTTTCTAACAGGTCAATCAGGACACTTTGGGGGTCACTGATCAGCAGTTTAAATACTACATACAGAGTGTGAGGATGTGAGACAGAAGCAGGCTCCATGTTAGGAATGCTACGGTTTACAGGGCTGCTGAGAAGGCAGATGAACTGCACAGATTCTGTGTAGGGGACTCAGTGAAGAGTCAATGATAGCTGAATGGCTGTGCTGTCAGAACTTAGAAGGAGAATTCTGGAGAGCTGAGAATGTGAGAGGGATGCTTGGTCTTTGTTGGGGGAAGCTGTGAGGTGCTTGGAAGAAGTCTGCAAGCATTAATACTTCAGTACAGCTGCGAGGGGTTGAAAAGCCAGCCAGAGGCCAATTCAAGCTCAAGGAAAAATCCAGGAAGAATTTTGCTTGGTGAAACCAGCTGTCGGTGAAGAGTTTGTATTTGTGAATGCAATTTCTGAGTCAAGTGGAGTGTACATCTAGGAAAGGAGAGCAATGAACCAAACTGGGAGTGATCATTGAGGCAGTTCATGATGGAATGGCTCTCAAGAGGAGGCTTTAGGGTTATATCAGCAAAAATGCAGAATATAATCCCTTGTGAAGTTCAAATGAGAGTTCATGACCGACTGTATCATTAACATCTGGGGGGAGTTGTTGAGAAATCCATGAGACCTGCCTTGATTACATTTGCTGTTTGATGTGTGCTGAGGGCTGTTTGATTATATTCTATTTCCCATACTTACCACACATTAATTGTTGCTGTTCACAATAATGTGTAGATGTATTACTGTTCTAAGTTTGTATAGTATAATTTATAGGTTGTTTATTAAAAATGGTGGAATCTCATGCCTTTGTTTTCTTTTCAAGTCCCCTGGCTCTCTCACTTTATGCCCTTTAAAAATAAAAATAAAAATTTCCTCAAGCCAGATCCTAAATAAATTCGGCAAACTGGTTTGAGATCGTAACAAATGATGTTAGCGGTCTGTCATCATATTCCCATAGAACTATTTTCTGTGATACATCAGGGTCAAAATCTCAGCAGCAATAAATCTATCAACACATTGAACTGAATTTGTTGCTGAATTAATACCACCAGAAAGTACGTTCTAAACAACTGTTCAGTCTCACTTATATTTTATGGACCTCTCGTCTGTTACTTAAAGATACTCTTTGCACAAAAAACCCCACAAAAATACAACAAAACAGGCTTTTAAATGGATGTGCACAACAAGTCGCTAACATATAAAAGAAAAAATTGTTGCTATGTGGCTAAAGTAGGACTTTCTGGTTTTCATTTCATGGTGAAGGAATAGATCAGAAAATGAATCAGACAGTTTTCAGACTTGGCCAGATTCAGTAGAAGGGAAATATATTAATAAGTAGAAGGACATATACAAATTTAGTGCCAGATCACTCATGGAACATAGCCTATATAATCTAAGGTCTGCTTCTAAATTATGGATGAAGTTAGTATCATACTCAGGAATGTCTTACAGAGTTTGCTTTACTGTCAATAACTTATTAGTGCATGTTAGCATCCAAAGTTTGTATGCCTTTATTAACGAAGAATAATGATTGTGGTCACTACTAGATATATCTTCGACGAAAAATGTCAAAGTAGGTTGAAGTAGATCACAAGAAGAGATCTATATATATGTATCACACCTTCGACTGTATTGCATATAGTAGAAACAAATTTTAAAATGCAGTTCATATAACTTTTGCTTGAAAACTATTTCTAACAACACTTTTCATTTGGTTTGACAGATTATTAGAGAACAGCAATTATGAGAATCCATGCTTTTTATTTTGCACATGTGGATGCGGATCCAATGCATCTCCTTTTCAACATTATTCCTGAAACAAACTCCTAGGAATGTGAAGCTCAGATCCCTGTGAAAGTTCACTGGACACAGACACGTAAACTGAAGGAAAACAAAAGCATGGATCCCTACCAGACACATCATTCTGCAGATATATTTTTTGAAGGGCAAATGAATACCATTTAATCTTGCATCTGATGAGGAAAATATTTCAAAGTTAATGTGAAAGAAACCAACCACATACAGCTAAACCATCATGCCAAAGACACCATGATCTCCATGAACATTTAACCACAATGCTCTGCTTCCTAAAATGCCTGCATCTTTGTCGTGATAGGACGCTAATAGATGGCGGGATACTGTTGGTAACAGTACTGTGAAATTTTGAACGTAAAGATTGTGGCCTGTAATTTTATCACAGTTGTTTTAAAAGAATTTTTTGTACTAATGGCTGATATGAAATGATGGGACTGTAATGCTCCACTATGATCATTATATCCTAATATGCCTGTGATGGACTGCATTGATTTTTTTTACTGGAAAACATATTTGTATGCTAGTCAGTTATAACAGTAGTAGTGTTGTGTAAAAAAAGAGTCACAAACTATCATTGCTTGTTCGCTTTCCTTTTCTAAAAAAAATTAAAAATATAAAAACACAATAGGGAGCATTTTAACTACTCATGTACTTTCCAATAATACAATTTACATAAACTTGGCAGTACACAAGTCTAAATTAAATTTAGTTGTGCAGGGAATATGTCAGGAATCCTGTATCTGTCATTGAATTAATAATCAGCATAGAATTGGACTTACAGAAGTCAGTAGCTCACACCACAAATTTCTTCTGTAAAGAATTTAACAATAAATGTGCAAAGATTACTTATTTAACATCGTAGGTAAATGTTAGAATTAGAATATTGTAGGAATTAGAAATTTGAGCTTTTTAATAAAAAAACATAAAAGCTCACTTCTTAGAAGTCATCCAACAATGATGCTTCATTGAATATAGGGATTTGTTTAATTTCCAATGTTCTTTATGTAAATAGAAGAAACTAACGTTCACCAAACCTATTTCAACCTTACGCGTTATTCTACGATAATGCACTTATCAAATATTATTTCCTATCTAGGCAAAATTAATTTCCCCAACAAACCACATTTTATAATTTTACAGTTAAATAAAAATCCAACCTTGTCCTGCATCATTATTGTAATTTTAATTTCCAAACTTTGCTCAGTATTTTCTGAGACTATATTCATTAAATTTGGTTAACTGCAAACACTTTGTAAAATCTGTTGCAATTTTACTTCTAAAGGGACAGATATTGTTTCCCTTCTTTTAATATTGAGTGGTTCATGCTAAACTTTATCATTATTATCCAAACAGGGACAATTCCAGCTCCGGTCAAAGCCAATGAAAATTCACTTAAAGGATCCCATTGCTTTTTGCACTGGGTTCAAATTTTTTCAATTTAATCTCTGACTATTCGCGAACCTACATTAAAACAATTAGATTTCTTTGTATGTCTGTGTTGTAACAAGTGTTCAAAAGCAAACCGCAACTACCTACCTGAAGACTTTTTGAAGTTGCTATAGGTCAGAATTATACCTGGCTACCTCTGCATCCAGTCCATTGTAGCATGCTCCTTCAGGCATGTTACTTGGTGGATTGCACATCTCCATCTCTCACAGTTTCTACATTCTGTGGAGCCCTAATAAAGTTAATTCTATTATACCAAAGGGAAAATCACTCTTAACAGGGATTTATTCTTATCAAAGTTCATTGCCATTATATTTATTGAAGCGAAGCTGACTCTTCTTATTTCCCGTGAATTGTGTTACGGTTGTATTTGTTTGCGTGTGGTTAAATATGTCACAGATATTCCTGATGGAAGCTACCCCACTGTGAACTGATGAAATGGACACATACAAATATTGTATTAAAAAGAACAGCATAAAGTCATTATTGCCTTCCAAGTTACTCGCCACAATATCCACATTGTTCCAACTGCAGTAGCTTCTTCTTGAAACATCTCGTAAATCACCAGTTCTGTCGCAACAATGCTTAGATGCCCTCAGTCATAGATAATGTGCTAATGTTATGACACATATTTGCATCAGTCCCAAAACACACTTCTGGAAGAGCTTTTACTGTGTGTAGCTCCTCCTACTTAATTTTGCAAGTTACTGCATCATATGAATCAACCAAAATACAATATTTGTGCTTAACATTTTTCTGTGAGAATACTTCGTACCAGTGTCAACTTCTTACCAGTTCTATTGTATTCCATGTATCAATTTTGAACAGTAAAGTTGAGTTTTTGGACCTACGTACCATAACCTGTTTTTCATTGAGTAAATAGAAATTGTTATTGGCTCAAGCAAATGAGATAAGGCTGATCTATCTGAGGATGTATTTAAACAAGGTCCAAGTATAGTTTTGTGTAAGTAGGACTAAGCCTTTTGAAACAGCAATACCTCTGGTTCAACTTTTGATCTGCATTGATTTTATTTTTCTCAAGCAGTGAAAAGTCTGAGTATAACAATTGGACTTAATTCACCTGGAAAGTGAGGCCTAAGGTGGGGTGCAGGGTAGGGAAATAGCTCAAATTCTAATGAATTCTGTTGTAAGGTATATTTCAGTAAGTACTAGAAGTCAACTGGCAACCATAGAAACATACTGTTATGTGAGACACCACATGCAGGACAGGTTGGAGAGAATGTTGATGCATTTGGAACATAGGAAAAGGCGTAAGCCAGGAGTAGAACAGGAGTGAGCCTGTTCTGCCATTCAATGAGATCATGGCTGATCTAAGGCCTAATTCCATATACATACCTTCAGCCCATATCCCTTATTTGTTTTTAAAAAAATTAATATATCTCGGACTTGATATTAACAAGTGATCTAGCATCCAGTGCCATTTGCAAAAGAGAGCTCCACCCTTTACCACTATTTTTGTATATAAGTGCTTCCGAACATCTCTCCTAAATGCCCTGGCCCTCATTTCTAGACCATGTCCCTGAGTTTTAGAATCTCCTACCAGTGGAAATAGTTTATCTGTCTTTTCCTGGTAATATATTGAAGACCATGATCAGACCACCTCTTAACCTTCTAATTTTGAGAGGAAAAATAGGCCCAATTTGAATAATCTTGCCTCATAATTTAAGCCCTTAAGTCCAGGTATCACTCCTGTAAATCTATATTGTACTCCCTCCAAGACCAATATATCCTTGCTAAGGTGTAATGCCCAGATCTGCTCCCAAGCAGGGCCCAACCAGGGTTTTGTATAGCTTCAGCGTGACTTTTGTATCCTTACACTCCAGTCCTCTAGATAGGAAGGCCAGCATTCCATTAGCTTGATTATTTTCTGTACCTGTCCATGGAATTTTAAAGATCTGTGGACCTGAACCCCAGTTCTCTTTTAGCATTTGCTGTATTTAACTTCAGACCATCTAAAATGCACCATGATTTATCCTTTCTCAGTCCAAAATGAATAATCTCACACTTGCATTGGAATCCATCTGCCACAGTTCTGCCTGTTCTTCTAGTCTATCAATATCCCTTTACAATTTCATGTTATTGTAAATATATAAGCTGTATAGGTGAAACAGTAAGTTTTGTAAGCACTCTCTCGCTTAAGATACAATGGAGAGTATGGAGGCATATTTTTGCATTCCATATCAATAAGGTGGCCATTTATTCCAGTTATCCAAAAGAATCCACTGCAGTTTAAGCTATTTCAGCAGTGGTGGACATTTTTCATTAGTTTGCGGTGCTTTTTGCAGACAATTTGCCAAACTGGAGCAGGAAATCTAGTGAAGTAGCTAGTGATCTATAGACCAAGAAGAGTGAAAATACCAAGGAATCAAATTGAGGACCAGCTTTCGAGCGGAAGCAATACACCAGCAAATACAATAAATGTGTAAATCTTTAAAACTAGTGACCCAAACTAAAAGCAGTAAAAATGAGTATCACAGATAGTAGGAACTGCAGATGCTGGAGAATCAGATAACAAGGTGTAGAGCTGGATGAACACAGCAGGCCAAGCAGCATCAGAGGAGCAGGAAGGCTGACATTTCGGGCCTTCCTACTCCTCTGATGTTGCTTGGCCTGCTGTGTTCATCCAGC